AGCACAGCGAGAGTGTCAATCAATCGGGGATGCTCCACAGCCCCGTCGATAAATTGAACAGCATGCTTAGATGCAAGCTCTAAATGCCAGACAGTACAAGTTGAACTCTGCCAGCCTGAACATGACACGACGTCGCGTCTGTAAGATGTTTGTTTATGTTATGCTACGTACCCTGTATTGAGCCCCTTTCCTTTAACGCGTGTGCGTGCCCTCAAATTTTTGGAAGTGGAGTTACACACTAGTTACACACAAGCACGCCTGCGGACACAAAATATTGTCAGGAGTATCAGCATGCCTGTCTTGGGGCAACCTTGCAGAGTCCAGAGCAGCCTTGCAAGTTTCTCACCCCTTCCGGCGTGCCTCGCTTGCGGCTGTGTCCCTGGCACGGGGTTCTAGTGGTGATTGATTGCAACGTATTTTCAGTAACAACAAGCAAGTAGTGACAGTACGCATGTAATTCTAACGCGCTCTCCCTACATAAGTTCCAAGCTAGGCAGTGTCTGGTTTTCGTAGTCCGAACAAATTGCAGAGGCCTACAGCCAAGAGTTTGGCAGTGTCACGAGGTATCGTGTACGACCTGCAATGCCGTGAAACTGAATGTGGACACTCTGGCTTGTCGCCTTTCTTAGTGGCAGTGGCTTTTCCAAAATCCAGGCTTGACCCTCAGGCTCAGTCTATTAGCTTCTCCCCAGGTCTGAAATTTAGGGTTGGGTTCGATTGACTCACGTCTGGGAATTCATGCAAGGAGGCGGTCTGCCTGCCTCGTGTCCTCTGAACACAGTACACTGCTGCCAACCCGGCGCTGAGCCCTAAAGCCCAAAATGCAACACACACACACACACACAGAAGCTTCTAATTTTGCAATGCTGGACATCGGTCGTCTTGACTCAGAGCTGCTGGCCTCGGAGCACAAGACTTCTGTTTGTGCCCACGTGTGTAATCGCACAGGAATAAAATGGTGATAGTTCCCTGGCAGCCTGGCCTTTATGCCCGGCTTCTATCCATGTCTCTGATGGTGTGCCAATGACTATGATGACTTTGATGAGCATGGCTGCTGTAATTCTCGTCCACTGCTCCTGCTCTCGCAGCTGCTGCGGCTGCGCTTCTCACGAGGGAGTGGCAACGACGACTGATGTTATTTCGTTGTTGTTGCTATTGATCTTGTTTCTGGTACCGATGCTGTTGCTGCTGCTGTTGTTGTTGCTGCTGCTGATTGTCTTATCACCGGTAACAGGTATGATGGCTTTCTTTTTGTTCTTGTCTCTTCCAGATTCGCGTAAACGACCTTATTTTCTGCCCGAAACATCTATCTATCTCTTTGCCTATGTATCTAGCAATCCAGCTACCAGTACCCAGCTTCCTACCTGCCCATCTATCTATCTACGTCGATGTAATCTTTGCATGTAACATGCATATACGCATGCAGGACAATGAATACAGTCAATCAAAAAGAAGTATAGGTACACATCAGAAGACAAAACAACAAATCAGGCGCAAGCAACCAACACAAAGCTCGAAACATGTCAACCACCATGCAACTTGTGTAGACTTACACGATGCAAGCACTGATTTTTCAAGTATGAAAACCCGTGATACAAATAACCACAAGTATATATATATATATATAGATATATATATATATATATATATAATGGGTAAAGACCAATAAGAAAGGACAACAGCTGAACAAATATCATTCTATCTGTGTGTCTGTCTAATTACATATTCGTTTATCTGTGCACACCAATAAAGGCATATACTAAACATTAACACATTGACATGTGCAGACGTCCCTTCGTACTTACATACATACATACACACATGTGCGTGTATATATACATACACATAACTGACATATGGACTTATATATTTGCATATGTATATATATATATATATTTGTTTGTTTGCGAGACAAAATACTGTCTCTTTCTCTCTCGCTCTATCTGTCCATTTATCTATCTATCTATCTATCTATCTAACTATCTATCTATCTATCTATCTATCTATCCATCTATCTTGCTATATACACACGTAAAGAGATATGCACGTCCACACACCCTTTTTAGATACATACAGACAGTCCTTAAATCCGACCCAGCAAAGACCAAAAGGCATGCTCGGCCACGGACAGCTGATGAGCACATTGCCGGAGGAGCCTTGAACCTGTTGCAGTCGTGGGAAGAGGGCACTATGACCCGACCTGGGGAATTCCACCCCAAGGCTAGCTTGAACAAGTACGATGTAATCGGTATGAGTACTCATGCAAGGTCCAAAAATCCAACAGCTTAGCCAATATCGGCCCTTGCTGAACAAAAAACTGTGGAAGCTTAAGCTCCACACACTCATACGCACTGATTCCCCGAAAGCCCTTCAGCCCTCATTACCTAGACCCGTGTCGCACGGGCTGATCTATTTGCTGGACATCAGATATCACCCAACCCGGATTGCGCAGGGGCCTGGCCCCATCGCCCGCAAGCTCCAACATGCTGACGTCCAAAAGGAACCAGGAAAGTTTGCATATGAAGCCAAACCCTGAAGTCGGTGCACATCTGTAAAGATTTAAGCACATAAATAAATAAATAAATATATATATATATATATATATGTATATGTGTATACATACTCATATGTTCGGCATGCATATGTCTGTGTGGGTCTATCGACCCATCTATGTGTCTGTCGGTCTGTCCATCTTTCTGTCGACCTTTCTTCTTATCCTTCTGTGTATCGACCTACCTATCTATGCATCTGATTGATCTATCCATCCATCCATCCATCCATCCATCCATCTCTGTTTTGCTTGGGTTGAGGGCAGGCCCCCCAACCCGCCCAGTGCGCCGCCCCATCCATCATTTTGGTGGATGGGCTTGACTGTACTTGAACTGTGCCAGGCTTGAATACTTGAAACACAACCTACCTGCCTGAACCCTGTCTGAAACCGAGCTGCAGACCTAGCCGCGCGCACTCACTGCCTTGACCTTCCGCTCTGTCTTTCTGGGGAGTTGCCTCCCCACCGCTTGCTAGTGCCCGCCCGCCTGTTATGGGTGCTAAGGGAAAAAACTGCAGCGACGGCAAAAGGCTCCCTGGAGCATATGCAAGTCACTTACAAGTAACACCCCCGAATCAACGCACAACAACAAGGCTCAGCGGCTCGTCTTGAAAAGAGAGAAGGATTGGAGCTATGGCATCACAAGCGAAGCGCCGACAGCTAGTATTTTATTTTGGCAACAACCGTCTGCTCGATAACAAGCAAACGATGTCGACAAACTGACAACGAGTTGGCCTAACCATGCAAGCCCGGTGCCTGAGAGAACGAATTACGGTGGCTGAGCCCCGACATGGCATATCCAAAGACACCGAAGTAAAGTCAGCCCAGGTGAAGGTAGCGTACAGTTTTGTCAGGTGAGCCTCCCGGATGCACGGCCATGTAGGAGCCGAAACAGTAAATCCAACAAAAACACCGACTCCCCTCAGGGTTCTTCCGCGTGCTTCAGGTGGACTGGACCGAAACCCTGCAAGACCCCGAACCCCACCCAGAATGCACGGACAGCGCATGGGAAGCTACCTGTCCGAGCTGGAGGGAGGTACCGTGAGCCAAAATGGTTACGGTCCGCTCTGTCTGTCTGTCTCCATCTCCCTGTCTCCCTGTCTGCCTGTCTGTCTGTCAGTCTGTCTGTCTCTGTCTGTCTCCCTCTCTCTCTCTCTCTCTTGCTTGCTTGCTTGCTTGCTTGCCCGGCCTTTGGGGATGATGGCTCTCCCGGCCCCCTGCGCAGCAGCGCCCTCATGGGCCATGCCAGGGTCCGTGTCTGGTTTGGTCGGCATGAAACTTCAGTGAGGCCCCCGACTCCCATTGTAGCGCGCGAGCCCGAACACTGAGCATCCGTAGTGGATGCCCCTGCGGGAGTCGCCGGGTATGTGCTGGCAGGCTCCAGTTCCTAACACAACTGGCATGCTTCACAACAACTACTAGAGTACCGGGAAGCAATCGCCTTTGTTGGAGCTTCCTTTGGCACGGGGTTTTGTGGCAGTAGCGGGGCAAGGGTAAAGCCAGGGAACACGATAGGGGGACAACTCACTTTGGTCCCCGCTGTCGTGTGATTGCCACTACTTGTGCGAGAGCCCTTTACGTACAAAGCAAGCAACTCCGTAGCTGCAGGAATGTCGGTTGGTTAGGTGGCTTTTGCACTGCGGGTCACCCTCTCCCTCTCCCTCTCCCGCTCCCTCTCTCTCTCGCTCTCCCTCTCGCTCTCCCTCTCGCTCTCTCGCTCTCCCTCTCCCTCTCCCTCTCCCTCTCGCTCTCCCTCTCGCTATCGCTCTATCTCTCTCTGTTTGTATATATATATATACATATATCCTCTTCTGTATATGTATATGTGAGTATGTGTAATTAGACACATGCAAACAGTGCAACAGATCGAAACGAAACCCGTCCTCCCAGCGGCAGCTTTGCCCACGGGCCACGGGGATGCGGCCGAAGAGCTCGAGCCGCTTTCACGGCAGGGCATAGCCTCCGCTTTGAGATTTCACATCGCTGTGAGTCGCTCGGTACCAGGCTGGGGGTGAAAGCTTACCCCTACGAAGAAACACTATTGAATATGGTGACACTGTCATGTCAACAGGAACAAGCATGTTGACAGTCCAGCATCAACAAGTATCAACGATAGACACGAGGAGAGTAGCTGAGATACCACTATGTTGCTGCGCATCATGATGATTTTGGTGCTGGTGGTTGGAGATCTATCTTGGTGTCGAAATCGTACATGCATTCCCTTGGGAACGCCCGCTAGCTCTGGAGAGCACATACCCCCATCCTCATCAGGACCAGGAGTCTGCGATTGGGGGCTTGTTTTTGGGATGATATTGAAGAACACGCTGTGAACTTGCTGGATTCCTCGCACGTGCACAGACACACCCAATTTTGACAGTTCGCTCTCGCGACGTGTCTCTAGTGAGACCACTTCCAACAGATGTACTCTCTGCTCCGTTGTGCGAAGTAGCAGCTAGCCACTCAGAAAAGCCATGAGTGCCAGAGTTTCCGGGTCTTCGTCGTCGTCCGAACCGCCGGCAGAACACAGCATCTGAAGCTTGTGAAACTTTTCATGCTGCGCTCGCTGGCTTCCTCGGGCCACATCTTCACCACCAGCAGATGCAAAGAAAGATGCCAGTTCAGCTTGGCCATGCGCGGGCGAACCCACTTCATCTGCCCGTCTTGCGCTTTGTTGCTGCAGTATCCATCGTGCCTTCTCCACCTGAATCTGGTCCACATTCGGTTGGGATGTTGGGCTTCTGACCAAGGTAAAGTGGTAGAGTGAACGAACCAGGGAACCGGGAAGGCAATTGCCGAAGAGTCTGTCTACGACCTTAGTTAATTACAGTGATGGTGATGATGGTGGGCGTCGGAGGTGATGAGTTTCATCGGCAGTTGTTTTTCGCAGTTGCATGTTCTGGTCCCGAAAGCCTTTGCAGTTTAAACTCGTCTGACCTGCTCTGGGGATGCCCAGCGAGGTCCTCGGGCATCCGCTTCCTCGCGAGTCCTTCCGTGACCGATCACACTGAGTTTTCACTCACCTGTCTTGAAGGCTTTGGGTCTTGAGGTTTAGGGTGTCGCGATCCGGGTCAAACGCTGCCTGCACTGCGCTGAAGCTATATAGATCTATATAGAGTTAAAGACTATGATCACAATCTAGTAAACTCTGCAGATTGCTCTGTTAGCTGCCCGTGCAAGTTTCGAACCTCTGACACCTGTCAAACTCCGACAGTTGTCACATCACCGACAGACATTTTGCCAACACTTAAGAGCATCTGTTCCCAACACGGTTCGGACTCTTGGTTTAGATTTGCCTGCCTTGATGGCTTGGTTGAACGCTGCAGACCTCTTGCAGAGAACCTCCTACTTCGGCAGCGCTTTTCACTGCATGTAAGTCATTCTGCAGGAAAAAGATTGCATTCGCGCCCATGCACACACACACACACACACACCGTATAGCATGGGTATTCATATGACATATGCGACACACGACCTTTTCGAATCGCATGGACACAGCGAACATGTACACACAAATGCATGCTCACATATATGTATATATATATATATACGACACGGAGTCCCCAAATCAGCCCCCTTCCCAGGGCAGCACAGATGGAAACGGCAGTGCTTTGCCACATGCTCCATACATGGGCTCGCAATGGCTCGCACAACCGAGCACATGATGAATCAGCAATGCTAAGAATGGCCCAACATGTCGATTAGACAGCGTCCGGCCTTCATCGTTGACTGACCCTTGCGTAAAACAAACAGGAGTACCTTAATCCATATGTATACGGTAAGTAGGTACCAAATACATACAGATTCTACATATGTTCAACAGATGTGAAAGCCCTGCGCATTAACATCAGCACACACACACACACAATAATGCCAGAGTTCCCCGATTTTGCAGGCCTAGAGCTCTGATCCCGGGGTCTCAGACTGTCCTGAGACTGTGGAAATTGAAGAGGCTGGCTTCCAGTTCGGGCTCCTGGACGCGCAAGGCCCACACGTCCACAAGGCTAGCGGCTTCCTTGTCGAGATTTGGGCTTGAGCTGAAGGTGCTGTTGCAACTGCGACTTTACAGAAGTTTGCCCAGCTGAGGGTTTTGAACTGTTAATTCACGGGGCGACAGATTGGGACAGAACTCCACGAGACAAGGATCTGTTCACAAAGCAAACATATTTAGGAGCAAAAGTCCAGGGCCTCGGAGCGATAAAATTAAAGGCCGGGGTGAGGATCACCCCCCCCCCCCCCCCCCCCCAGCGGCCCAAAATGTCGCAAACAGCCGACCCCAACTCTGAAAACTGCCAACTGGGTTGGGGCCTTGGCAGGGCAAGTGGAACCGTGGCTCCAACCACCAAAACGACGTAGCCGGATCGCCGGAAGGGATTTCAACAACTGCGCGGATCCCCACAGGAAGGGAATACGCACACCTATTGAACCATAGCGAGCAAGCATAGGATTGAGCAGCCAAGTTTCCTTTAGTTGCTCGGAACTGCAGAAAGCACCCTTGAGCCCCAAATGGGAGAAGCGCTCCGGTTCGAGGCCCGTCGTCGCCAGTTCCACCAGCTTTCCAGCCTCTGCATGTGCGAATTTTACTACTCCGTGGTACTTATGTTAGTTGCACCAGGACGGGGTTTTCAATTGGCCACGAAGAGCAGAGGGTCCTGATCTGGTGGCATTTTATGAAGCTCTGTGCATACGTGTGTTGTTCAAACCAATGATTAGCGAACATGAAGACGTGGCGGTTGAAACGAATCTACGACAATGCAGAAAGAAACAACCCCTAAGACCGACCAGAAAGACTCTAGCTTAGCAGCTCGGATTGTGAGTTGCTATATTGAATTCCCTTTTCCATGAGAGAAGGAGAGAGCTTACATACACGTAGAACTAGAAATTCATTAAAACAGGCCTCAGTGTATAGATGATGTTGCATACTGCTTGTTCCCTCGGCCTCGAAGCTGCGAAGGCGCTTCGCATGCTGCTGAGAGGTCCGCAGATGCCTTTCAACCGGGGAGCCATCGCCACCATTGGCCAGGAAAGAGAAAGTCTTGTTGCACAGGGTGCAACTAAAGCTCGTCATGCCGATGCAGACGAACTGTGACTCTCTTGCATAGGCAAGAATGCAAGATAGTATCTCTCTGGAAAAACACGGCAACCGAGACGGAGCTGCTGAATACCTGCCGCTGAAAGCCACGCAAAGAGCGTGTCTTCGATCGAAATACGTATTGCTTTTGTTGCAGTCTTGGCACACCTTGGCGATGCGTTTTCCCTTCCTGGCTTCGAAGGAGGAGAAGTCACTTTGGGCTCGGGGCCGAGCACAGCGGATGCACCACCAGGTCTCCGAGGCACAGACGCGGCACCGGCGGCTGCCCTGAGGCCGCAGCATCTGGCTGTTGGCAAAGGCCGTCAAAGGAAGCTCCTTGCTGCAGGCACAGCAAGGCTGTGTCACGCACTCGTTGCATCGTCGGACTAAGTGGGACTCAGACTCCCCTCTGCCATCGTCCATCGCCGCTGCTTTCTGGAACTGAGAGCGGGTAAACATGTCGATTGGGAGGGACTTCTGACACGAGCCGCAGAGGAAGGTCTTACCCCTCTCACGCTCTCGAGCCGCAGAAAAGGTCAGGCGCTCGCATGGCTCGGCAAGTTCCGTAGGCTGCTCTTGGCTTCGAAAATCGTATAAATGCGCCAGAGGGCAGGTTCCCCCACTCCCACTCTTCGCATTGATGCAGGACATCCTTACGCAGCCTTGATGGTCTGCGAAGCAAACGCGAGCTCCGGTCTTGCTCTCTAGCTCCTCTGCTATGGCCTCGGGATTTTGGATCCCACAGTGGCCCAAGCGCAAATGAACGGGCCGGAAGCAGCGTCTGCGCTTTACCCACAATGGGTACTTTCCGCTGGAGGACAGCTTGGAAAGAAAATGCAGGACTGCTTCTCGGTGAAGGCCTGGGCCAAGCTGATGCGTCGCATGCAACTCCTCCAAGACCCCTATTGTCTCAGCAACAGCAAAATGGCCAAGCGCTGACATGGCCTTGTCCGTAAGCAGGTTGCGTTGCAGCTTGAAGCAGATGGAACAGTGGCTTAGCCCAAGGCATGGCCAGCTGGCCAGAAATGCAGCCAAAGCATTGTCCGTCAGTCGTGTGCCTGCCAGGTCCACGGACACCTTGCGCACCCTCAGTTCACTTTCGAAAGCACCCCTGTCTGCAGCTGCCAGCCGGGACAACTCAGGGAGCATGACCTGCTCGATGGCCGCCTGGGACCATTCGGTGCCGCCAAGCCACAGGTATAAATCGAAGGTTGCGCGGTGATACTTCCATCCCTGCTGCACCAGTTGTTTCTGGGAAGGGCTGGAATCCATGGCGTGGAACAAAGGCTATACTGTGGCTATGGCCATCTAAGACTTCTATAGCCTTTCCAGCCACAATCATGCGGTCTGTAGGCATCTTCTCGTGCTTTCCGGTCACAAAACTCATCGTTTGAACCGACCTGCAAGTCAGAATAGCCGTGACTCAGCATCGGACTACACGAATTTTGTTGTGTTGGCATAGGAACTTTTTATGAATCGCAGTCCTTCATTTCTGTGCCTGGGCTTTTGCCTCTGCTACTGCTTGGATGCTGATAAACAGCTGCAAACCCGCAGAAGCAATCCGAGCGCTTGCAGTCCTCGAGGCTTTTTTTCCCCGACTGATGAACTTGAAACAGGCACAAGCAATCTTCGGCCCTTGGAGTCGAGGAACTGAACACCCCAGCTTGAGATGCTATTTTTTAGTGCCTGAGTGTACTCTCTGCGTGATGATGCAAACAGATTGCGTGCACCCGATTGAATTTAGCTGCTGTGCAACTTGTCCCCATCTCCACGGGTCCTACACTCTTTCTGATGAATTCTGGTTTCCTAATAGTTTCCGGGCAGTGGGAAACCTGGCCTTGACTGGAATCCGAGAAGTGGCCGAATCGCCTGCGAAAGCAACAGCTTGCGTCATGAAATTGGAACCGACATTAGACACTACATGACACTATTACCTATATCATTCAAGCTCTGGGTGCCCGTGCCCCTGGCACTCCTAGTATCACTGGCAGTACTGCAGTCGTTACCAACACTGCAGGCAGCTACCACGAATATTACCACGACTTCTGCGTCTGCTACGGCTACTGATTCTGATCAACACCATCGCAACTACTACAACGAGTGCGAAGACTTCAAAAAGTAGTGGTAGTCGTAGTGACAACAGCAGTAGTAGTAGTAGTAGTAGTAGTAGTAGTAGTAGTAGTACGGTAGTAGTAGTAGTAGTAGTAGTAGTAGCAGCAGCAGCAGCAGTAGTCGGCATCGTCGTCGTCGTCGTCGTGGTCTTTGTGATGGTGGTGGTGGCCGTGGTGGTGGTGGTTGTCTTCGTCTTTGTCGT